GGTCCAGGTGGCATCATTCCACTCATTGGCATCATTATGTTTTCACCACAAAATGACTGGGTGAATTTTCTCTGATGATGCAATCCAGGTGGCATCCCTGGCGTAACTGGTGGCATTCCTGGCATCAGAGGAGGAACACCTGGCATTAGTGGAGGTATGCCTGGAGGCATTCCTGGTGCTCCTGGAACTGGTGACAGTCCTGGCTTAGCCATTGGAGGGATATAACAATTGCTGAGGTTGAACAGGCTGTGGTTGAAATAAAGTTGAGGCAGCAGAGTCATCATTATCATACTCATCAGAATCATCCTGTTGCTTCTTTTTTGACTCTCCTGTGTTTTCTGTTCAAGAAGTCGTCATCTTTCATCCATATCTTTTTCTAGAATACCTTTCATACCGTATATTTCCAACTCTATGTCTATTCTCCCAGGTATTGCATTCGGTACAACATCTATTGTCTCTTTATGTACCTGCATGCAATGAATAGCTAAGCCAGGTCCTGTATACAATTTCTTATGACATATAAGGCATTTAAACTACTTTGCCTTTTGGTGCTGTATAAGGATCTTCTCATCATCAAATCTATATTACAATACCAGCACCACGGCTTCAGCTGCTTCTTCTTCTTGTGACCCAGAGCTGCGTCCTTTCGGAAAATTAAAGGGAGGAGAAAAAAGCAGGAAAAGGAGGAAATAAATTGCTCATTTTTCTGACCCAATGACTGTGTCCCACAGGAAACCCAGGGGTAGATTTAGTTTCTGCAAGTCAGAGCAGATCCACAGGAAATAGGGAGTGTAACCACATTTGAGCCATTTGTAGAGATCTTTGCTGATATATTGTAAACAAGAAAAATTATGGTGAGGGTCTGTGGGAAAGCTTAATGAAGATGCATTTGTGTATGAGGAGGTGCCACTATAGTATTTCTGTTTTAGTGCTTGAAATATATTATTGCATGTCCTTCTGGCCCTTTGAGTTATCCAGATGTGTTACTTTTACCAATGACTTGGTGCTTCTCTCTTGAATCTATAAAAATCTTTCTTTGGTCTGAATTTTGGGATTTTAAACAAAATATAATGTGGACAGTTTCTTTTTGGCCATGTCTATTTGGCCTTCTAAATGCTTTCTGTGCCTGATTTTCATCTTATTTTCACAATTAAGGATTTTTTTCTGATGCAAGTTCACTGAATAAGTTTTCTATGCCTTTAGTCTGTATCTACACTCCTTCCTTCAAGACTTTAGTTGCAATTGGTCTCTTAAGGTTGTTCTAAAATGCCTATATATTCTTTTTAAAGTCTCTCTTTTTTATTATATTAGGAAAGTTCTTCATCATCCACCTTGTCTTCAAGACTTAACATTCTTCCATCTACCTTATGTAGTATATTTTCAGTACATCTCATTTGGACTTTATTTGAGTTAATAAACTTATAATTTCCAAATTTTCTGCCTTTTCTCTTCAGAAACTCTATTTCATTTTGGAATATTCTTTCAAAACCTGGTTTTCCTTCATTAATTCATGTTTTAGTCCTTTAGTTTCTTAAATTATTTTCATAATAAATTGTTTGAATTCTTTGCTCACCATATCCTACACATTAATGTATGCATAGTAAGTTATTAGGGATTTAAACACATTGGGTAGTGTGTTAGTGTCTTGCTTTCTCATGTTTCTTGTTTTAGTATACAGAGGTTTGTACAGATGTCCAAATAGATTTCTTTTCCCCTCTCAAATGTGGGTCATTTTGTTCAGCAGACTTCTCTTCAGATATTCCTTGAACAGAGTGTATGTTCTATTTTCAAAGCCCCTACTCATTGACAGAAGTGCTAGGATTACTTATCCAAAGCAATTTAAGAAGAAAGAATAATCACCAGTAATATCAAAAAGTTAGAAGCTAAGCACATGTTGACTTACAACCAAAGCAAAAACTTTTTTAATGATCTCTACAACTCAGGTAACCAATGAAGAAATGGTAATAATAAACAATGTCCAAAACTTAGGCATTAGTGGTTCTAAAATTAATACTGAAATACACAAAAGGTGAAATGGAAAAAAAAGAATAAGAAAAAAATATGAAAAAGAAAAATAATGCAAATACAAATAAAAATAAGAAAACAAGTACAAAGAATATTAAACAATTAAAAGATCATGTAAGGGCTGGGGATATGGCTCAAGCAGTAGCGCACTCCCCTGGCATGCGTGTGGTCTGGGTTCGATCCTCAGCACCACATACAAACAAAAATGTTATTTCCGCCAAAAACTAAAAAGTAAATATTAAAAAAATTCTCTCTCTCTAACTCTCTCTTTTAAAAAGTATTTAGCCTTTAAATGTCAGTTTTCTCTCTTAAAAAAATAAATAAAAGATCATGTAAGTTAGAAAGTGAAAAACAAATGATAAGAAAAACCACTTAAAAATTCAGTGCCAAGAAAAACATGATTTCCTTATATGATGTAATTCAAATATAGCCAGTTTCTTATCCAACTTTTATTTTTAAGATTAACCATTTTGGGGGTGTTTCTGTAGAGTAACTATAGTTGTACTTGTTTCTTCTTAATTCAACAGGCCAGTACTGGTTGTGGAGTCTTGAATTTTGAAAAGTTACTTTCCTGCCTACCAGGAAATGCTATAGGACCATTTTTCTACTGGTTTTTACGTACCTGGGGATGGGACTCTGGCTATAATAGGAGCTATCAAAAAAACTCTCATACATGAAGCTTATAGGTAATCCTAGCACTTCTTTCAGTCTGTGCTGAAAATCCCAATTCCAGACTTCTTTTAGTGAGCTCAAGGTCATGCAAGATTCCAAGTCTCCATACTGTTGGTTTCACTTTCTTTAAGCATAATAGAGATGGACTGCATGCAGGATCTGTGCTTGGTTGGGGGAGATGCAGGAAATAAGCTTTTCACAATACCTTTCAAAGCATTCCAAAAATGTTTTGCCCCACGGAATCACACACAACTCATTATCTTTTCTGTTACTAATCTCAAAACATCAGTTTTAACAGGAAGATATCCCCACTGCCTTTATTCTATACAGTGGCCAACCAGCTCACCATACTTTCTGCTGCCCAGAGTTTTCAACACATCTCTGTTAATCTGGACCAGAAGGGTGGGTATCCACAATTCCAGTAAAGAGAGGCAGTCCCTGTGTCTTGGAGATAAAATATACAGGAGATGCTGATATTTCAAAGACAGAGTTCCAGCAATGTGCAATGGGACCTTTCTAAAGGAGGAACTCCCTTGGTGAATGACCAAGGAAGTGACTATAATTGCTTTAGTTCTTCCCTTACATGCCTCTGAGCACAGTGAAATGGCTAGACTCTGTAGTTCAGCTCTCCTCTCTGTAGATGGTAGCAGCAAGTTTTCTAAAAGAACCAATCATGACACTCTTCTTACACATAGTTCTTACAGGCACATTTAATTGAAACTCACCTCAGTTTCTATCACTTGGATGACCATGTAACCATGACTGCAGCTTTACAAATCTCTCTACAAATCTGTGTCTCAGTTACTATTGTTGATAGATCCTGACATGTGTTGTGGATGCTTGCTGAACTGCCAAATTCATGTCATTTTTGGGTCCTGGAAATACAAGAACATAAAGGCCACGGTTTCTGATCACCCATCAAGCAAGTCTAGAAAAAAGGACCCCAAGTAAAGGAGTTTCTTGAGTAAGAGCTCATGATTTTGCTGAGAACAATCTGCAGTGCACCTGTCCTCCATTGACATCTCAGGCAGAATCCAACTGGCTGAAACTCGTTACTGGAATTTACAATATGATTTTCTTAACTATAGAGCATGTGAGCCTACCAGAGAAGAGATTCCACCTAGACAATTTTTCCCTGACAACTGCTGTAGTTACATTCTTTTATGAGATATATTATTACACTAAAAAACATATTTCTGGGTCTTATCTGTTCATTGGCTCTCTGTAATTGCACTCCACTGCATGCCCCTTACCAGTGTTTGTGCAGACACACATCAGTTCATTTGACTCAAATTCAGGGTGCAGTCAGTAACCACTGTATTCACCTACATATATGATTTTTACCATAGTATAATATTTTGTAATTTTTTTTCTTGAGTGGGAACTGATGCATACTCTACCCTCATGTATTTAAAAAGAAAGAAAACTTTTTAAAAACCAGTTTACCATTTTATTAAACTAGTTTTCCTATCAGTATAAGTTTCACCAAAAGAAATTTAGATTTCTGTAAGCCCTTGATTTCCTGAATAGAACAGTAGGAATATGGTTTCTTTTCTACTTGATGTGACATAATTTAGTCTCTCTAACAAAATATCTTAGTTCAACACTAAAAACTTATAATTAGAATGTTTTAAATGTTTAATGATGTGTAGCAAGTGTATATATACATATATGTGTGTATACTTACACTTTGTACATATTATATAATATATATGTCAATATATGGTAGAAGTTCCTCTTATTTTTAGTGGTAATTTATGAGTGTAATGAAGTTACTTTCCTGATAGAAAAATGCACATCAGTTAGTGTGCTGTTGGTAGTTTTCTCTCTCTCTTTTTTCATTATTCTTTTAGTTGTCAATGGACCTTTTCTTATTCATTTATATGCAGTGCTGAGACTTGAACCCAGTGCCTCACACATGCATGGCAAGCACTCTGCCACTGAGCCACAACCCTAACCCTCATGTTGGTAGTTCTCTATTGTCCTTCTATCCTGGTTGTATACAGTTAGTAGACAAATGAATATAATATTTGGCTGATTTGCAGAGGGCATATGACACTCTGATATAAAATATTTCAATTTTAATGTGTACTTCTTTAGTTTTTAACTCTAATTTATTTCAAATTTGTACAATTAGGTGTCTCCTTAGAATACTGATTAGGCAATCTTCCTATAGCTCATTAGTGATATTATTTTTTACCCAAGTATCTCTCAGATTCTTTCTCAGAATAGTGTTGGTCATTCATTTGGTGATGCATATCAAAGATGAAAAGATGATGTAAATGGACATATAGAAGGTAAGAACCACTCATTATAAAATCATTGGATATAATTCTTGTTTAAAGCATGATCACTAGTATGATTTAATAGTGGAAGAAATGAAAATAATAAATAGTAAGATGATTGAAATAATGTATCTTATCAAGTTGCAACCACAGGGTAAGTTGGAGTGGTCCTAGAGGAGCTGAGTTATTAGGTCCATTTCCAGACCTGCTTAAATTAGAGGAAAGTTGGGTCATAAGGAAGGAGAGGAAAGAATCGAGAATGAAAAATGAGAAAAGACTGTAGGCAACAATAACAACAGAAAAGGAAAAAATAAGCATGTGCACATTGATCGTGGCATGATAATACATTCCCTGGAAGAGATTATGACTTCTAATACAACTACAAATTTGGGGATAAGATAGGGAGAATTTTAAATAGGTAAATTAAATGGCCAGGTACATGTTGCATGCCTATATTCCCAGTGGCTCTGGAGGCTGAAGACAGAGAATTTTGAGTTCCAACCCAGCTCAGTAACTGAATGAGGCCCTCAGAAATTCAGAAAGATCCTGTCTCTAAATAAAAAAGGGATGGGGATGTTGTTCAGTAGTTAGACATCCATGGGTTCAATACCCAGTACCAATAACAAAATAACAAAGCAAAAAGAAACATCAAATAGACAAGTTAAGTTAGAGGAATTGGTAAAAGATTAAGCATGCCTAAGAACTCTCAAATTTTAGTGAATCATATGTTGGGGACCATGTACAAAATATATGTTCTGACTCAGCAGGTCTTTGGTTTTACATCCTGAATACATTCAAAAATGCTTTCAATGCTCCTTGATCCACAGACCACATTCTAACTTGCAAGAGCAGTTGAATGAACTACCCTTTAGAAAATCTAAATTAAGAGCCATTGTGTCTTAGTTCATGGCATAACCATATTAAAGCATAAATCTTGCTTTGTTTTTTATTATGTCTGTTGGCAAAGGGGAAGAACAAATAGATGGATACATAGAAATTGTATTTTTTAAAGAAGTTTTTAGCTGTAAATGGAAAAAATGCCTTTATATTATTTATTTTATGTGTTGCTGAGGATCAAACCCAGGACTTCACATGTGTAAGACAAGCACCCTACCACTGAGCCAAAATCCATATCCAAGAAATTGTATTTTTAAGATACAGTTACTGAATTAGGAAGAAAAAGTAGTGGGAAAAGTCTAAACAACAAATGTAAAAAAAAAAAAAAAAAGAGAATCAAGACCACAGATCTAGAGATAGGTTTTAAAAAGCAAAGGGAGAGGTAGTGAGGAGAGAATAAAATTAGCTTTGTAATTTTTAAGATAATAATAAGAACACTCATAGAATGCATTTCAGCTGGTTTCAGTATATTTGCCTTCAAACCAAAGTGAGAATTACTGATCCAGAGATGGTTTTAAGCAGGGAAAACTGTTGGAATTGGGGAAACCAGCCACTATTAACTTCTTTGCTCCATAACTAATAAGCATAGGGAAGTATTTATATCAGTAGTTGAGAAATCATTAGGATACTTAATAAGCTTATTTTTAACTTTTTAAAGAAACTAATGAACTGTCTTCCTGAATGATGACACCATTCACACAAATGATATATGAAGATGCTAGTCTCTCCATATTCTTGCTAATGCTTGATGTTTTCTACCTTTTTTATTGTAGCAGTCACATGGGCATATAGAGTCATCTTGTTGGGTGTGGTTTTCTATGTCTTCCACCCCACCACCTAATCAACACTATTAGTCAGGATAGGCTAGGTTATGCTGTGGTAACCAGCAACCTCCAAGCCTCGGTGACTTCAAACCACTACATGTTGCATGGCTAGTGATGACTACAAATGGTGAGGAGAAGGAGTGCTCATCAATAGCACTGAGGGACCTAGGCTGATGGAAAGTTCTGGAGGGGGGAAAAGGCAGACTGCTGTGGTTTTAACATCATTGCCAATGCTCATGGTAAAATTTAATTTTCTTTGTAACAGAGATTGCACTTTTGAGAGGTGGGATCTTTAAGAGATGATTAGGACAAAATGGCACCACCCTTGCCAATGAATTAAGCCTTTTATTGCAGGATTGAGTTTGTTATTAGTGGACTCTTGGTGAAAGGATGAGTTTGGTCTGCTTTCTCTACTTGCCTTTCTTCCATGTTACAATGCAGCACAAAGGCTCTGGCCAGACACTGATGCCATTCTCTTCATAGTCTCGAGGACTGTGAGAAATTTTTTTTCTTCTTATAATTTACCTAGCATGTAATATTCTGTTATAGCAATTAAACATGGGCTAAGACACAGACCACACCAGTTCTAAAAGCTTCCGCCTGACAGTGACAAAGTCACTTTTATTCCTATTTCACTAGCTGGCATTTCACACGGTTACCATTAACTTCAAAAGCAGTTAAATAGGTCATATGAAAAAAGAAAATTACTTTGGAAAAACATAATAATGTGAAAACTTATATAGATATATTTTAATGTCAGTTCAGAGTAGTAGGCTTTTAAGTATTAGGCTTTCACTGTTTTAAGTGTGTATTATTAGGACTTTAGTTTAGAAGCAAAAAAGCTTACTAATAATCATAGGTATGCTTTAAAGTTAAAAGTTAATAATAGGTCATGATACAGGTAGTCAAGTTGCATAGACTAGTACTTAGTGATTGAAGTGAAAATGTAAAAGCTTAATCATGATTGGCAAAGGTTACAGGAACATATTTTAAACAATGTGTTCAATATCTTATGAAGTTAATATATGTCAGAAAAGATTGCAACTCTTGAAAATTATGTAAATGAAAAAAGTTTTGGGCTTTGATGCTATTCATTAACTACATGTATAAACACCTGTAAAAAAGGTATAAAAATAAAGGCCTCTCTGGGACATCAGATCCTTCTGAAGGCTGCTTGTAACTTGAAACCTGTCATGCTGTCTCCTCTTCTTTTCCTTCAGTACCCAATGCCACTCCTACTTCAGGACCCCTGGATTACTGCTAGGGCTGGATCCTGGCAATAATAATAAAATTTTTCTTCATTTAAATTTGAAGTTGACTCTGTTGATGGGCTGTATTGAATTATAGAAAAAATATATGTAGAAATAAATTCCTGTGATTTGTGCTAATATTCTTATAGTACCCCATACCAAAGAAAAAACAGACATCATAATTCTATTATTATGCTCATGGCAAAATTGCACATAATTTATTTTTAATTCCTTATACTCTAGGTTCTGGAATACTGAGAGATCTAGAGACCTGGCACCATTCACCTCTTGTTTATTTTAAATGTTAATACTAGAAACTTTAAAATTTTATTTGTCCCCCATTTTTTTGTAGGGGAGTGGGGACATTGCTTCCTCAGGGAATTACAGATGAGTTGAAGTCTCAAGCTGCTTTCTCATAAGACCAGAGAACAAAAATATTAAATAAAACTTTAAAATAATTGTGATATTTCATTTTTTTATATATAAATGCACTTCTGTCTTGGCTAGATCTACATATTGGGAGGAAACTCTGCCATGAAATAATTTTATCCTGATGCACTTAATGCAATTCATAGCAAAAAAGCCCAGGGCTCTGAAGCATTCCTGTAATACCACTTACTTGAAAAGACATCCCAGGAAAATTTGAGACCCTTCCCCAGGATTCTATCTATGTTTCTCTCCTTCCATTAATCCATTCATCTGTGGTCATGGGGCTCTGTAGTGAATAATACCCATGGATCTGATCTCCAGTGTTTTATTTTTTTTTCTACTAACAATTGAACTCAGGAGCATGTGACCACTGAGACCATATTTACAGTCCTATTTGTATTATATTTAAATACAGTGTCTCACTGAGGTTCTTAGTGCCTTGCCATTGGTGAGGTTGGCTGTGAACTCACTGTCCTCCTGACTCAGCCTCTCCAGTTGCTGGTATTACAGGCATGCATCCCTGCATGTGGTAGATCCCCAGTCTTTGATCAACAAAAACAGAGTGGCCAAAAACCTGTGTTTGTGTCCTTATTTGATTCTGATATGGATGCAATTTATTGTCACTCAAACAGTAGGCCTACTAAAGCCAGAATTAGACAGGCAATCAGTGTAGATAGGTAAATCTAGTCAGGTTGAATCTAAGAAGCCAATTTTGAATGATTCTGGGAAGTTGGAGACTGTCCCCCAAGGATATTATCAAGAACCTGCTCCTGCTCCAACCTATTTCCCAAATAACCTGTCCCAGGAATTTCCCCTCCCTACAGGGAGCTATTAGATTGTTAATGTGTCTCCTCCATTCTGCCCTTCCCCCTTCAGCCCACCTATTTCCCACCTTTAGGCCATCCTACCAAGCCTTTCTGGGCCTAGACAGGTCCTCAGGAAGGAGAAAGGTAAGGGGGGAAAGGAAGGAGAACAAAGAAAGCCTAGGACATATAAAAAGTCAGAACAACTTTTTCTGGGGATACCCTGATACCAGCTATGGTCCCCTTCTCCCTCATGAGAGAAGTATATGTTACCCTTTTCTAAATAAACCCTGCTTCATATGCTTGCCTCAGCATGCTTCTCTAATGTTCAAAGTTTAACATGTGGGAAACTAAGACTTGTCACCAATAACTAAGAGTATCACTGCCAGGCTCAATTTTGGAGGAAGTTCCTGAAGCCCTTTCCAATCTGTCTCTTGGGTGAGAACTGTCCAATCAAGATACAGTCAGTGATGAGGGTGGGCTTCCACAGTCTTCTGTTCCTTTTGTTTCTGGAGCCTGCCATTCATTGAATCCATTTCTATGCTTCCAGGTTTCTGTGCTACACTGGAGCTGAAAAAAAAATCCACGTGGGGAACACTAAGCATTCTGAAAGCCAGGAAATGGTAAGTGTGTGTTCTTATTTTGACACTGCATAGGGAAGCTTTTTGAAGCCAGGGGGACTGGCAATGGTGGCTGGAAACTTCTCATAATTGTCTCCAGAGTCTGGCGGCTAGAATGGTCTCTCCATGGCAACTCAGCCTTCAGTTTTCTCTGACTAGTCTGGTGGAGATTAGATCAGTATTTGAGTCCTCAAGTCTTTTGTCCCATAATTGTATGGTGTTTTCAGGGCCTTTTTGAATTCCTATGTGGGCATCTGTGTGCCACTAGCTCAGCATGTCCCCAGATTTTGTGGTGACAACTGGGATAATCTTCAGAAGAGGACCCTAACTTCATTAGTTGTGTTCATGCATGAGAGAAGCTGTGGCTTTTTTAGGGATCCCTATTCTTGTTCCTCCTGAGTGTTTGTTGTTGTTGTTGCTTATATGTTTGTTTATTTTAGACCAGGAATTATTCCCAGTGGTGTTTATCTACTGACCCATATTCTCAACATTTTTTTATATTTTTATGTAGAAACAGGGTCTCACTGAGTTTCATAGAACCTCACTAAATTGCTCAGGCTGGTTTTGAACTCACCATTCTCATGCCTCCTGTGCTTTCTAAATGTAGACTAAGAAGTATCTCAAATCCAGGATGGCTATCTGATAGTTTAGCTATTTATAGGTCTGAGATTAAATCCCAAATTTTCAGCTCTTCACATTCTCAAAGACTGGGTTCCCTGCTCAGCTTGATTGAGGAAAAAACAAAATAAAATAGATAGTGAAATGAACAGGCAGCTTTATAATGGACATCTTATTTAACAACACCTAGAGGCTAATGGATAGATATGTTAATGAGCACCATTAAGACCTATTCAAATTAAAAAACCTTGAGATTCACTTCTGGGAATAACTTCTACCAAATTCTTTGTCCTTGGGGTGAACCCAGTTAGAAGACACTTGAAGGAGGATGGGATACTGAAAGGACCAACATGAACCCAGTTGGTAATAAGAATGTCTTTTTAAATACTTATTTTAAATAGATTTTCCCCTGCTCTGGCAAAAACCATGTATAAACTTCGAAGCTGGCCCACAAAAATGGGTTTTTCTGCCATCATGCCCTCTCTCATATTGTGGGAGTTCTATTTCTTCTTGCTAAAATAACTCCTATTATTTTTACTCTTACCTTTCCTGAGTGTCCATAGATTTTATTCTTCAAAATCTGTGAGATAAGATCCCAGAAAAAATTCGTTAAATCGGAAATTTAGTTTCATCTCAAAATGTCAGTTTCAACATAATTATTTTTTTCCATGTTTTGTTTTAGGCTCCAGATGTGGCTCAAGTGATAGTGCACTCACCATGTTTTGTTTTAAAGGGATGCCTTATTTGTAATTTTTTTCTCCAAGAACTGAAGGGCAGTTGTAAAAGATTTTGCTTTATCCTTTTGAGTCTTTCACATAAGAAAAAAGCAGAGAAAAATTAGATGACATTAAAAATAATGACTTTTTTTTCTAAATAAAATAATATAGTCAATGTGTCCCAGTCACCAGGGGGCAAAATTTTGACATATGCAGTAAAGAAGAGAAATAAAAAATATCAACATGCTTCTGCCCCTTTCAATGTTTATTCAATCAAATTGCTCAATACACTTATACTGTATATGTTCTTACTCAAAAAAATAACAATCCTGAACGCTAGGTACTGCATTAGACATAATACATTCACAGCAAAAAAAGTAGGTTCATTAATTCATTGCTGATAATTCTAGATTAATTCTAAAAACTGAAAAACTCACTTAATAATGACAGGCTAGTGACAGACATTCCCTCTGTGTGCTAATTTTAAATGTCAGATCAAAAGTCTTAAGCTTTAGGCTTTTAGTCCAGCAGTTGCACACTCACTCAGACCATGGTGACCAGGTCCAGAACCAAGGCAGACTTCTCCTGGCTTGGAGTGGACAACAGGTTGAGGAGAGAACCTATGGAGAAGTTGTGGCTTTCACCAAAGTCCAGATGAAGTGGTAGATTTTGAGAGATGAGAAAATCATGAAGAGGATCAGGAGAAAAATGACCAATGATGGGATGTCTGGTCCTCATCAGGCTTTTCAGCTTGAGTGTATCCTTGTTTTCCCTGGCTAAATCCCTGCTCATTAGCTCTATTATTTATACTACATTTGGGGGTGTTTAACCTCTCTTTTAATTCTTATTAACTATCCTGGGATTTCTCCATGACATCATTTACCCTGGGGTCAGAAACTTCTGGTCTTGTGGTCTCCATCCTGTTCTTTTTGTCTTTCCCTCTTATCAGGCAAGTACAGCCTGCCAGATATTTTACTCTGTTTATCAGGTTGAGGGAAGCAACATTTTTTAGGCCATACTGGAGGACTCTTTGGGTGTGCCTGGTGAGACTTCAGGTTTCAAACTGGGGATTTTAAAATGGAGTTGTTTAAGCTCAGGGCTAAGGTCATCCTCACAATCCCAATTAAAGACTTTTTTTAATGTAATGGGACCTTAATTGAGGTCCCCCCCCATATGTAGAACCACTTTATTAAAATGACCTGTAAAAGCATACCAAATATTTCCAGCAAATATTTTTTGTCCTAGTGTAGAGGAAAATAAAGATGGGACTGGACTTGATTAAAACTACAAGGAAATTTAATCACAAGGGCTAGAGTACATAGTGAATCTGAAGATCAAAAGCCATGTGAGTAACCTGGTACATTTTTTTCAAGAAAAAAATTTTTTAGTTGTCAATGGACTTTTATTTTACTTATTGAATGTGTATCTGAGGATTGAACCCAGTGCCTCACACATAATAGGCAAACGCTCTGCCACTGAGCCGAAACCCCAGCCCTAACCTGGTGCATTTTTAATAACCTATTTTATATAAACATTAACAAGTAACCTTAATACTTTTTCAATATCTGTTTGGATTGAATTAATAACCCAGAAATTACTAAAACAATGTCTCTAATTTTATCTTCAACTGTGGTTTCAGATATTGCAGGGTCTGAGTTAAGATTCCCCTTTGAAGAACTTAACTGTGTGTTGTGTTCTCATTTCAATATCTCATATTTACCCAGTCCTTAGTTTTAGAACAGTCTGAAATAAGGCGTCCACAGATACCAATGTCTCTTAGTCTATTTAGAAAATATCAGTATCTGTGTCTTGATTTCTAGAGATCAATTTGAACTATAAGTGTGTAGAATCTAAGGAGAGTAGTTGGATGCTGTGAAGCTGGAAGTAATATTCTGATGTTCCTTTCATCTGAAAGGAATTTTGTTTTTGGGATCATACCAGAAATTAAACTCAGAGGCACTCCACCAATTAGCCTCATCCCCAGTGTTGCAGTAATTTACTTGCAGGTCAGCATGGGAAAAGAAAGAAAAAGAAGAAGCAGAGCAAGCAAAGCAGCAGCAGAAAAAAAGTCCTTTATTGTGTACAAGCAATCTTTTTATAATATTGTGAACAAAGAAGGCAGCCTTCCAAGATCAATAAATCAGGTCTTTCAGCTAATTAAACATAGCATACAGAAGTTTTACTTTCTAATCAGAAGGGACCCGCTTCTCATGGCTAATCTATTCTCAGCTCGGAGTATGTTGAGCTCTGCTCTTTGTTAATAACAGATAATAAAATTTTTCTTAGCGCCCTCCTAGCCCACTTGGCAGAACATCCCGTTTGCAGGCAAGTCCTCCCAAGGACAGCAGACACCTCGTTTTCAAGCATGTCCGCTGTTACCTGTCTATACCTTGTCAGAATATCCCATTTGCAGGCAGACTCCATCAAGGACAGTAATAGTAACACAGTCACATCTGACTCTCTACACCCAGCCCTATTACATTTTCTTTGGAAAGAGTTGCTTAGTACCTTACCATTGCTGAAGCTGCTTTGAACTCTCCATCCTCTGCCTCAAACACCCATGCCCATGGGATTTCAGGCATTTCCCACCATGTCTGGCTGGCATTTCATCCCTTCCTTATAGAGGCAAAACAAGTATGAAAACTAGTGCCTTTGTGATTCATGCAACATCACAGTTACATTTCTCAAATACTATGTTGAGCTAATCACATCATACTCAAAATGAACTACTGACTAAATATACATATACATATATTTTAATTGATTCATTATAATATGTAAGCATGAACTTCTGAACTTCACTGGGATATATTCATACATACATACAGCATAATCTGCTGTTTTGTTCTGCAGTTTCTTCCCCCACTCTCCCCTTCCTCTCCTGTTCTCCCTTACGTTTTTATGAGATCCCATTATTTTTTTTCTTATTTCCCTCTATCTTCCACATATGAGAGAAAACATTTGACCTTTGATTTTAGGAGTCTGATTAAAAATGTGTATCTTGGAAGAAGTCAGAGAAAAATGATTTACCTTCCTTATAGAGGAAAAACTGCAAATTATAGTTGAGTCTTATTAGAAACCATAAAATCAAGAAGTACATAGCAAAAGATATGAAGTAGTGAAAGAAAAAGCTGTTTTTCCATATAAATATTATTTAAAAGCAAAAGAGAAATAAAGATTGATCAGATCCCCTGCACCCCCAAAAAAAGTTATCTGAGAAGGTTCATTGTCAGCATAGCTACATTTCCAAAATATAGACTTTTAGAGAAAAATGCTGATCAAAAAAGTTATTACCAAATAGAGAAAGAACATCAGAGAAGTAGTAAGTAAAATTTTTGTGTTTTATTCTTCACTAAACTTCAAAATATTACTGGTAATAACAATAATATCACCATACCTTATGGCATGAATAATGGGAAAGAGGAACTAGGAAAATGTTGCCCGAAGTTATCTGCACTATCTGTTCAATGGTATTGTTGTATTTCAAGATGGACTTAGATTCCTTTAAAATATAATTGGCAACTCTAGGGAAAATATTACATTTCTAAAGAGCTATTTTTTTATTTTAAAGAGAAAAAGCGTAATCATATAAATGCTCCATTAAAATTATAAAAATCAAAATAGTGAAAAATTAACAAAAATACAATTAAGAGCAAAGAGTAACAAAAA